TATATATATATATATATATATACACTGAGGAAAAGGGAAAATATAAGATATTTTAATATTCCATTTGGGATGTGTTCTTACACGAATCAGGTTGGGTCTCCAACTCGGGTAAGTTGTCTTCTCTGTTCTAGTCTGGCTGAGATCGTATGAGATCGGTTGCTATGATGAATCTCCACTCTCTGATCTTCTTCCTCAAGCGTCTCGGAAGTACCTGCAAAAAGGACTCCGACGATCAAGTTAGTTACCGTTCTATTGTCTATTCTCATACTTATCCTTTACCTGGGTTGTGCGATTTTCCGATATAACTGCTATAGTGGTTATTCGAGGTGAGTTAACTACAGTTAGGTTAGTCATTATTGTCACATGTTATATATATTTGATGTTGCTTATATATTGAGGTGTCGGTCTTATTGACCTCGAGGTTTGCGTCAACTTATATATATATAATCAGTATATTACACTAGGATCTCGGTGTGAGCTCGGTCCTACATCGGGGGTGGTACATAAGCCCCCAAGCTCTGAGTGATGTAAGAGCGAAAGAGGTTAAGAACGAATGTAACATCCGAGATCAAAAAGGAGGTGCCACGTCCCGAGAAATAAAGGCGCACGGGAGGTGACATGAGGAGTCACAGTGGTTGAGTAATGACAGCTGGTCATATAAGGGGTCACGTCGTTTCAGCATACGCGTGGAAGTAGTAATAATGTTTCATTAAGAGGCGTCAAATACGAAACGACAAGCGCGTTGGGATGTGTGAAAAATAAAGAGAACGTTTGAGTTTTGAAGGGATGCAAAGGCGGGCATTTAAAGGGTGACTTTGCATAGGTGAAGGCATTTGTATTAGTTCAGAGAGTTGTGAAAAGGTGAAGCGTGGAAGTGGGAAAGGAGCGTCATCGTTGGTGGGGTGTTTGTATTTCCAGGTATTCATTTAGCCTCGCTGTTTTTCATTTTAAATTCCTTCCACCTTCTATGCTTAGCTTATAGGGTTAGATTGATGAACAAGGGTAAGATGAAAGGTGGCAAAGGAAAAAGTAAAGTGATGGAGGTGGAGGAGGAAAAAGTACGAAAGAGAGGAGGAAATAATCGTAAAGATTCACATCCCAAAATCGCAACATCTGGGTATGAGTGGGTGAGGGGTGATGTTGGGCAATATAGTAGCAGATTTGGGGATTTAATGGGGGTGAGTGTTCTGCAACATCATCTAAAATTTTTCTTGCCTCCCATGCTAGAGCGAATCATAATAGAGCCTTGCTCTTCTGAAGAGCGTGTGTATTTTGAAGGATCAAGGGTGTCGCCTAGTATATACATGTATAAATGTGTCTTTAAGGATTTAGGCGTTTTGATGCCATTTACACCGTTCGAATGCGAGTTCCTGGAAAAAGTGAACATAACACCAAGTCAGCTGCACCCAAATAGTTGGGGCTTTTTGCGTGCGTTTCAAATTCTGTGTTCAGTATTAGGAATGGAAGTAAGTTTGGGAAGATTTATGCACTTTTATCAAATAAAATTAGGGGAGTCTCCTTTTGGTTGGGTTTCGTTGAGTGGAAGTTCAAAAGGGGGAGGACTATTCCAGATATTTGCACAATCATATAAAATTTTTAAAGAAGAATTTGTCAAAATTCGGTCTGTGTGTAGTGATCCGAGTTTAGACTGTGTCTTTTTCTTGGATGGAGAACCGAGATTCCCCTTTTACTGGCAATCTCAGCTTGTTAAATTTTCTGGCTCGGAAGGGTTGGAACTAACTCCAGCCGAGTTGGAAGATATAGAAAAATTGCAACAGCTACCTCGGCCTTTAGAAAGCAAGTCAGTTTTAGGGCTTGCTGGATCAAAGAATCCTCAAGAGGATCTAGAACGTAAGTGATAGTTATAATATTGATAATGAGTAGATATTGCTAAAATTTATGTCAATATAATATTGTGGTGGCTGATGTGATGCAAATATCATGGGAATAAGTAGATGGCGGGAGTTGAAGGGGAAATTTAACATAGAAGAAATTCCTGATGCAGCGGTCCCTAAACAGAAAGTTAAGAAGCAAAAGATAGAGGGTGAAAATTCTCACAGTAAGGAACATAAGCCTGCTGACCATGCTGTTAATTCGAATTTGCCGAGGAAGGAAGTTGTGAAAGAGACTACCAAACCGGGGGGTGATACAAGCCAAAAACAGGTGGGGGAAAATCCTGTTATTGATCTGGAAAAGGAAAATCCTATCCAGAAGCAAGTGAAGAAAAATCCTGTAATTGATCTGGAAAAAGAAAAGGTATATTTCTTATCATTACTTGCAATATTATGTAATTGTGTTGACTGCTCTGATTTTAAATTTGTCTTTTGAAGCCGACAAATACACAAGTTCCTGAATCTTTGGAACATTTGGTGTCGAATTTGGAGGCATCTATTGCTCAACTCGGCTTTAACTCGCCGGCATCATAGGGGAGATCATCTCAATTTGGGCCAAACAACCGTCCGAGATCACTGCATCAAAGATATGATACTGAGCATCCCCTATCAAGGCTAGATCATGTAAGTATGTCGCCCGACATGACTTCCTTTTGGTGCCGAGTTGAGTGCAGAAGCGTTTTATAAGGAGGATCCAGCTTACATCGCCGATAAGGCATTAATCGAAAAGGTTGGACCTGTTCAAGGTTGGACCTGTTCAAGGTTTAGACTCCGTGCAAGTATTTCTACAGAGATCTATTGCTGTGGTAGATCATTGGAAGAGAAAGTGGTATAAAAATGCTGCACTGATGTCCAAACTGAGGACTGAGAACGCCCAGATTGGATCATTAAATGCTGAGGTTGGCACTTTAAAGAAAAAATTATAGGAGAGTTCAAAGGCATTTGAGATTTCTGTGAGATCAAACAAATCTTATGCGGCTAAAGTGGAGGACCTTTTGAAGAAGGTGAATTTGTTAGAAAAAGAAAAAGAAGCTCAAGCAGAAAATGTGAAGATGCTGGAAGGGAAAACAAAGGAGCACGAGGGGAATATTCAAAGTTTGAAGGGTGAGATGGTAGAGCTGTAAAAGAAAAATAAAGCCTGCCAAGAAGTTATTGCTACTAACGTGAGGAAGATCGGAGAAATAGAAAATGAGAATAAGAAGTTGAAAAAAGAAGTAGAAACTACTGACTATCAAGTGGTCGTAGAGCACAAGAGGGGATTTTCGAAAGCCTTACGACAAGTGAAATGTATTGCCCCAAACATTGACTTGACAGAAGTTCACATCGACAAAGATGTCTTTAAGGGGAAACTGGTTAACGAAGATGATATCACTGATGATATGAGCAGTGAAGAGAACAATGAATAGTTATATTTGTTTACTGAACAATAGTATGGTTTGTACTTAGGAGTTATATTTGCTGTTGCCTTCATAGACTAAACTTTTGACAATCTTTATAATATTCTGAATGTTTTGATGAGTGTTTCAATTAAATATGGTGTTATGCTTAAAGTTAGCACATAGATATTTGAATGAAACTAGTTTCATCTTAATAGAATGAAATCGACTCTAACTTGGCCGTATTGCGCCGCGAATGTAATTGACTCAAACTTGGTAGTATTATAAACGAAGAATGAATTTTGCTCAAACTTGGCTAAATTATGGCTCAAACTTGGCTAAATTATTACTCAAACTTGGCTAAATTATGGCTCAAACTTGGCTAAATTATTGCTCAAACTTGGCTAAATTATTGCTCAAACTTGGCTAAATTTTGGCTAAAGGATCAATGCCTCCTGAGTTTCAATATGAATAATGTGCAAATGATGACCTCGATTCAAACTTGACCGAGTATTATATACAAATGATGGTAATGGCGACTCAAGCTTGGCCGAGTATCGTGCACACATGATGAGATCGTCTCAAACTTGGGCTCAAACTTGGCCGAGTATTAAGTGAGATTGATGTTGTAATAATTAAGTAAAGCATAGAAAGGTGAACTAAAAATAAGAGAAGAGAGGATGAGAAGAGAGTAGTTATGATATAGAGTTATAGGTCAATTACATCTCTTCTATTTGCCTCAGGTATGCCTCGTTAAAACCTCTAAGCCAAAACCCTTTTTTTTTTACTTGGGAAAAAGACCGAAGTAGGAAAAAGAGTACAATACCTGGGTTTACATGCGTTTAACTGAAATAAAATTTCAAATGAGTGGCGTTCCAAGTTCTAGGGAGAACTTTGCCACTGAGTTCTATCAGTCTATACGCTCCATTTTGTAAGCATTCTAAGATGCGAAAGGGACCTTCCCAATTAGCTACAAATTTTCCTGTCGATGTATCTTTTCGAGCATCGCCTGTGGCTCTCTAGACGAGATCTCCCTCGCGGAAGGATCTCGGTTTGAGCTTCGAATTGTACCGTTGAGAAGCTCGAAGTTTACATGCTTCTTCCTGCACCCTAGCATGTTCCCTTGTTTCATCAAGTAAGTCTCGGTCCAAGCTCAACTGTTCTCCGTTCTGAGATTCGTTGAACGTTAATCTTCTGTGACTTGGCTCACCAACTTCAATAGGTATCATTGCATCTGAACCATAGGTTAACTTATAAGGAGTTTCTTAAGTAGTAGTCTGTGGTGTGCAATGGTACGCCCACAAGACACTAGGTAATTCTTCAATCCATTCTCCTTTTGACGATCCTAGCCTTTTTTTAAGTTCTCAGAGAATCACTTTATTTGCTGCTTCAGCTTGGCCATTTTTTTGTGGGTGTTCTACCGAGGTGACTTTGTGATTAATTCCAAGTTGCGTAAAAAATTGTTCAAAATTTCTATCCACAAATTGCTTGCCATTATCTGTGGTGATTGCTTGAGGTAGGCCATACCTGCAAATGATTTTCCTCCACGTAAATCGTTGCACATTAGTTGTTGTAATTCTCACTAAAGGTTCAGCTTCAATCCACTTTGTGAAGTAATCAATCCCTACGATTAAGAATTTCAATTGACCTTTGGCAATTGGGAAGGGACCAAGGATGTCCATGCCCCACCATGCAAAAGGCCATGCTGACTGCATGGAGTGAAGTGCTGTTGCAGGTAATTGATGTAGGTTGCCGAATTTCTGACAAGCTTCACATTTTTGTACATATGTTTTACAATCTGATCTCATAGTTGGCCAATAGTAGCCAGCTCGGACTACTCTTGCTGCCATGGACCGAGTTCCAGAATGCATACCACATATACCTCGATGGATCTCGCTCATCACGTACTCAACCTGATCTGGGTCAAGACATTTTAAAAGGGGTACTGAGAACCCTCTTTTGAACAATTCACCGGCTTCAATTGTGAAATGACAAGATTTGGCTTTGATTTTTGAAGCTTCCATTTTGTCATTTGGTAAAGTACCATCTGTGAGGTATTGCCAAATGCTTGCCATCCAACTTGACTGACCAGGGTTGTTGTCTAATATTGCTACAGAATCATAGCTAGGAGTGCTAATTGTCTCTTGAATAATTGTTTTATGTTGTCCTGGACGTTTAGTACTGGCTAGTTTGGATAGCAAATCGGCTCTAACATTTTGTGCTCGTGGAATATGCTCAATCTGAAAATGGTCAAAGGAGGAGATTAAATGAGATACCATGAGGTTATACCTTTGGAGCTGTGGTTCTTTTGTTTGATAACTTCCCCCTACTTGCTCTGTAATTAACTTTGAATCACTACAACACCTGAGCTTCTTGACGCCAACGTCCTTGGCCAATCTCAAACCTGCAAGCAAAGCTTCACATTCTGCCTGGTTATTAGTAGCTCGAAAATCAAATTTGATTGCAAGCTCGAGCATCATATCATTAGGACCTTCAAGGATGATTCCAGCACCACTACCCTTGGTATTAGATGAGCCATCAACATGTAAAATCCAAGATTGATCTTCCAACGAAACGCTGGGTGTGAGCTCAGCTATGAAATCAGCAAGACATTGGGCTTTCAATGCTCCCCGACTTTCATACTTAATTCCGTACTCAGATAGCTCAACTGACCAAGCTGTCATCCGACCTGCGAGATCGGGCTTCCGAAGAATCTGTTTGATAGGATAGTCGGTCTTGACTACAATCTGATGACTTTGAAAATAAGGCTGAAGTCGACGAGCTGAGGTTATTAAGGCAAGGACCAACTTCTCAATAGTTTGATACCTCTGCTCGGACGCCTGCAAAACATGATTGATAAAATAAACGGGAATTTGTTTTTTACCGTCAGTTTGCATAAGTGCCGCACTGATTGCATTGTCAGCCACAACAAGATACAACAAGAGATCAGCTTGGGCCTGAGGCTTGGTCAGGATAGGAGGTGAAGATAAAAAGTTTTTGAAATCAGAAAATGCTTGTTCACATTGGTCATCCTAATGAAAATCCTTTGGTTTTTTGAGCAAGTTAAAAATAGGTTTGGCTTTTTCCGCCATCTTGGGGATGAGCCGAGATAAACTGGCAAGTCTGCCCGCCAATCTTTGTACCTCTTTATGATTTTGGGGGCTCCTCATGTTAATCAATGCCTGACACTTATCTGGATTTGCTTCTATCCATCGGCAAGTAATCATAAATCCTAAAAACTTTCCCCCTTGAACTCCAAAAACATATTTTTCAGGATTTAATCTCATGTTGTACTTTCTGACTTGTTGGAGGATCTCTTCGAGGTCTCGGACATGATCAGTGGCTGATTTTGTTTTGATGACCATGTCATCAACGTAAACCTCAAGGTTACAACCAATCTATTCAGCAAAGACCTTGTCCATTAATCTCTGATATGTTGCTCCGACATTTTTGAGCCCAAATGGCATGACATGATAACAGTAATTACCTTGTTCTGTGATAAAAGCAATGTACTCTTCATCTGGGGGATACATAAGAATCTGATTGTAGCCTGAGTAGGCATCTAGAAAGCTTAGCATAGCATAACCAGAGGCTCCATCCACCAATCTATCGATACTAGGTAGAGGGTATGCATCTTTTGGAAAAGCTTTGTTCAGATCTGTATAATCAACACACATACGCCACTTGCCATTAGATTTTTTGACCATCACGACATTGGCTAGCCAAGTGGTATACTTAATTACTTTGATGAATCCTGCATTCAACAATTTTTGAGTTTCAATTTTAAAAGCTTCTCTTCTTTCGTCACCAATCTTTCTTTACTTCTGAGATAGTGGCTTTGCTTCTCTGTAAATGGCTAATTTGTGGCAAATAAAACTGGGGTCTATCCCTGGCATGTCTGCACTGCTCCATGCAAAGAGGTCAACATTTTCAATGAGAATTGACATGATTTTACCTCGGAGGTCGGGTTCTATGTGCTTCCCGATTTTGGTGCATTGTCCCGGCTTCTTACCAATTTGGAATTCCAGTAGCTCGTCAACAGGACTAGGTCAGTGGTCGTGCATGTCAACTCGGGGATCCAGCCCGATCATCTCGTTCTTGCCAACATGGGCCACCATTGTTGAACTCGTCATCCCCAGTTGAGGTTTGGTGGGAGTGATCTTTAGACTTTCAGCGTAACATTTCCTTGCTAGTTGTTGATTGGCTTTGATAGCTATGATATGTCCATTCATCCCCAGGAATTTCATGGTTAAGTGAGGTGTAGATACTACAGCTCCCAACTGGTTCAGTGTTGGTCTTCCAATAAGGATGTTGTAAGAAGTAATGGCATCAACTAAGAGATATTTCACCAACACTCTTCTTGAATTCAAAGCTGAAAGGAGGTTAGTAATTCAATAAACCCACGAGTATGGACTCGCTCACCTGCAAAATCCACGAGAGGCTCGGAGTATGGATGGATCATATTGTGAGGAATATTAAGTTTTAGAAAGGTTGGCCAGTACAATACATCAGCAGAGCTGCCTTGATCAATTAAGGTCTTTTGGACTTCCCAGTTGGCCACTTCAACAGAGATAACCATAGGATCATCTTGGTTTAGATTTATTCCTTCAAAGTCATCATCAGTGAAGACAATAGGAGGAGTTGGTGGATTTCGATTCTGAGCTGTGATGATCATTGATGTTATGAATGTTGCGTAGATGCCGCTTTCTGGCGGAATTAGAGCTTCCTCCGCCAGCGAAGCCTCCCACAATGGTATTGATTACCCCACGCAAGTTATTTTCTGTAGAGGATTTGTCTACATGCTGCGGATCGACACTATTTGTGCTGGGCTTGTTTTCTTCACGTGTGTGTGTTTGTTGGTAATTGCTTTGCTCAGATCGTCCCGGGTGACCTTGGTATCGTCCTTGGTATCGGTTTGAATATCTACCTCGCCCTCTGCCTCGGCCATGAAAACCTCCTCAAGAAGCTTGGCCACGTTGGACATATTGTCCAAGTTGACCAGCTTGAATTAACTCTTCAATCCTGTCTTTAAGACTCCAAGATTCTTCAGTGGTATGCCCATAATTTCGGTGATAACGACAATGTTTGCTCTTGTCGGCATTGGCCGAGTTGTATGCTGGGGGAGGTAAGGAGATCAGATCTGCTTGGTTAGCTTCCTCTAAAATGTTGACTCGAGGAGCATTAAGGGGTGTGTAAAAATCATACCTGGGACCTCGTGCTTGACGAGGTCTTTTGGATCTTTGATCGAAATGATTCTTTTGTTTTTCCCTGCTACTGATTCTCCCTTGACAGTGAGGCCATCTCGGATATTATTACGAAATTCAGCATGTTCTTCCATTTGAATGTATATCCAGCAGCGCTTGCTCGCAGTTCGTCCATGCTTGTTGGTTGGTGTCGGCAGAGGCTGCCAACGAAGGGTCCAAGTTTGAGTGCCATCAGCATGGAATGGAGGACGACTTCAGGGTTAAGGTTTCGGATTTTGATGGAAATGTTAGCAAAACGTTCCATAAAATGCCTGAGGGATTCATCATCTTGTTGTCTCAAGTTAGACAATGCTGCCGAGGTGATGTGATGAGGTCTGCTGGTGGCATATTGGGTAGAGAAGAGGCGAACCAAAGTATCAAAGTTGTCTACTGATCTGAGTGGTAATTGTGTGTACCAACTAAGGGCAGTCCCTTTGAGTGAGGTTGGGAATACACGGCACATGATGGCATCAACATTCGTGTAAAGGTTGATCTGGGTAACATATGCGCCGATGTGCTCATCAGGGTCAGTGGTTCCGTCATATCTGTTAATGTTTAACGGTTTCCAAGTAGGTGGAAGGGGAACTTCCATAATTCCATCAATAAAGGGGTGTCGTCGAGTGGAATGAGGGTCGTATTCAGGATGGCTGATGTGAGTATGTGCAGATCGGTGAGTTCAAGTGAGTTCTGGTGGGTATGTAAGATCGGGAGAAGACTGATGTTCATCTGCAGTAGGAGGAACATGGATAGCGTGATTAGTGTATGGTGGTGGTTGATTTTATTGCCATTGGGCTCAGAACGCAGCCTGTTCGGCACGTAACTGTTGCAAGTCGGCTTCATGCTGTTTCCGAAGATTTTCCATTGCTGCCGCATGTTGTTGTTGCATCAATTCGATCTGTTCAAGTAACCGTCGTAGGGCCGGATTGTCTTCCATATTTGATGTGTTTGGACGTGGTATACTCGTTGATCTATTGGTCTGACTTCGGGTTGAAACCATAAGGGTGAAGGAGGAAAAGTTTTACCAAGCCCTTCCTCTAGCGCCAAATGTTCTTACACGAATCAGGTTGGGTCTCTAACTCGGGTAAGTTGTCTTCTCTGTTCTAGTCTGGCCGAGATCGTATGAGATCGGTTGCTATGATGAATCTTCACTCTCTGATCTTCTTCCTCGAGCGTCTCGGAAGTACCTGCAAAAAGGACTCCGACGATCAAGTTAGTTACCGTTCTATTGTCTATTCTCATACTTATCCTTTACCTGGGTTGTGCAGTTTTCCGATATAACTGCTATAGTGATTATCCAAGGTGAGTTAACTACAGTTAGGTTGGTCATTATTGTCACGTGTTATATATATTTGATGTTGCTTATATATTGAGGTGTCGGTCTTATTGACTTCGAGGTTTGCGTCAGCTTATATATATATATAATCGGTATATTACACTAGGATCTCGGTGTGAGCTCAATCCTACATCCGGGGTGGTACAGGATGTAAATAAAAATATAATATTATTTAATTTAAATGTAAAGTTTATGATTCTCTTTTTTAAGATGTGTGATTTTGATTAATTCAATTTTTTTCATTTAAATTTAATTTCTAATTCTCAAATCACATCTACAAGCACTTTATGTTTAGTTTTCCTCCACCTAATATTCTAAAATCTTCACTTTTTAATTCAAAATTTCCATAAATTAAATAAATTAAAACCTTCATTTTTAAAACTCGTCAATATTTCCATCATAATTTACAGAAGAACTTTATATATACATATATATATATATATATATATAGCTTTCCTTTACTAAAAATTCTAAAACAATATTTCGTTGAAATCGAAGATAGCTTTAGTATGTGCAAATTTTATGCTGGTTCTTGTGAATTGATTGCTTTATAACAAAACCTCCATAAGTTTGCTTTTATACCTAGAAAATGTTTTTCAATCTTCAATTTATTGATGCTATTATAGTGATGATAGCTCAAGAATGAAGAAGAGTGAAAACGAAATACTGTTGCAATTGCATCTAGAGAATGAGAAAAATCTGATAATGAAAATACCAGGCTGCCCCTTAAATACATGAGACTAAGAAGGAACAGGCTAACCAACTAAGCAACGACTAACCAAAATAAAACTAACTAAAATATATTTACAGCATAAATATAACTATATAATCTAATACCCCCCCTTCAAGATGGCAAGAAAATGTTGTCTATGGCCATCTTGGAGATGATGCTAAGAAAGGTAGTCTTGGGTAAGGCTTTAGTGAAAACATCTGCAAGTTGGAGATATTTTCTGACATGGATCAGTTTGATGACGCCTTTGGTAACCTTATCTCGGATGAAATGGAGGTCAATCTCGAGATGTTTTGTTCTCTCATGAAAAGTCGGATTGGAAGCAATGTGAATGGCAGCATTATTGTCACAGTAGACCAAGGCAAATGGTGTGTTGATGTTGAATTCAGTTAGCATGTTCTTCAGAGTAATTTCACTGGATACAGAAGATAAGGCCCTGTATTCTGCCTCTGCAGATGATTTACTCACTATTTTTTGTCTTTTTGATTTCCAAGAGATTAAGGAATTCCCTAGGAAAATACAGAAGCCAGTTGTGGACTTTCTGCTGTCAGGACAAGATCCCCAATCTGCATCTACATACGCATGCAATCTAGTAGCTGAATTAGATTTGAATAAGATCCCCTGTCCGGCAGTATGCTTGAGGTACCTAAGTAACAAGTTAGCTGCATTCATATGATCAGTATATGGGCTAGAAACAAATTGACTTAGCTTGTGTACAGCAAAACAAA